GTGGTTTCTTTTTTCATTTGTTCTCCAGGAATCTCTCACAAATTCTTAAAGAGAATCCTGTTTTTATGATTAGACTATTAATTGAACAGTAATTTTTTTTGGCTAAAGGATTTTGATGGCTAATGATTGACAGGCATTTTTATAAAAGTAAATGTAGACAACTAATTACTGACTTTGTAAGTCAATGTCCTGAACATACATGAAGTGCATAATACTTATTTGCTTTACCAGTGTCCTTATTTCTAAATGGATTGACCACACTAGAAATTAAATTTTTTTTAATTATTTAACTTCTTTACTATGTTGAAATTATAAATTTGAAAATTGAGATGAATGTTTAGATTTTTGGAGTCTGTCACTAATTCTTCAGAAATTCCAGTCTAGTATAATAGTATGTGCCATTACACATCTGTTTTTAATCTTGGTGATTGATTTGCATCTGAAAAGGTAGCATCTTTCTAGAGCTTATTTTATAATACCAACTTCTGCATACATAAAAACACAAATCTACTAATGGATTAACAATATTTGTTTCTTTCCATAATTATTTTATTTCCTCTCTTACTTAGCAAGCAGAATAGCTGGTACCATCTGTATTTACTAGGAATTAAGGTTTGGTGTCCTTAACTAACTTGGACCCAAAAGCAAGAGTCCATGCACTGAAAAGTGTAAGCAATTAAAGCACTACCAAGGAAAGTGTTTTTCTACCACCAGAGAGAGGCCATTTACTCTCAGACCTTGAAAGTTATAATCATTTATGGTCATCAGGGGAAGCAGAGTTTTTCACACCCCAGGCACAAAACTGAAAGTGTCTAACTGTTTCATTCTCTTCTCACATACTGAGCTCTGGGTGATTTTGTTAAAGGAAGCATTAAACAACCTGTCAGCACTTACACATTGGATTAGGAACTCTTATCATGTGGAGGGGCTCTGGCTAGTTCAGAAAGACATTATTGGAAACTTAGTGGTGAGAAGATAAATGTAACTTAACATTTTTTGGCTCCAGGAATCAACTATAGCTCTTTTCCTTAGCGTTTTCTATTGCAAAACTGTTGTTTCTAATTTTCTGAGCACTAACAGCCCACTGTGCTTAAATAGCTCTTAATCAGAACACAATGATTAGATAGTTAGAGCCTGCATGAGACTTAGATATTAGGAGGAGTTGCATTGCCCAGAAACAGGTTCACAAGACTGAATTTCCTATCTTTATTTTTTCTGATTCATCATATGATTTCTTTTTAAGTATTATCATCCAGATATATTTATAGTTTGCATCATTCACCGGGTATATAGCAATATAAGTGTATGTCTCACACACATAATCTAGCACACACACATACACACATAGTTACTGTGATACTGTAACAGTATAAGAAAAGAATAAAAAAATCAATGAGGGGCTGACATGAAATCTTTCAACTACAGCATATTTAACAAGGAGGGAAAACCTGCTTAGCTGGCTGCCTTTTTAATTTCAAGGTAACTTTATTGGTCTGCATGCTGAACGTTTCTACAAATTTGATTACAACAAATGTCCAGCTGCCTTACAACACAGAATGAATATTACGTTTTTTAGTGAGATAATCCTTTAGTAAAGGCCAATCTTTCAGACAAGGTTTTAGGAGAAAAAGTCTTTAGAAATATAGTCAATTATTATCATCATCTCTCTGAAATTTCAAAACTCTGTCCTCCTCTACATAACAACCTCTCTGTCTTATTAAAAAGCTTCTAGAAAAAGTAACCTAAAACCACTCTGTTGCTTCTTCAGGTTATTGTATTCTTCCTCATAATATTACAATTTTATTTTTGTTAAAACTCTTCTCCCGAAACTGGGGGGTGACCTTTTGTAGCACTGGTTTTCAACAGATGCTTCTTTTGAAAACTTTTTCCATCTTTGGTTTTTGTAACAGCATCATTTTTTTTCCTTTGTCTACTGCCAAACTCCCTATTCCTTAACTACTTTGGTGTATACCTCTTCCTTAGCCTAGTTCTTGATTGCCGATTCCCAATTCTCAGCCCTCTTTTATCTTAATTTTCAAAATCAATTTAATCGGTTATTATGGCTTATACTATCTACTGTACAGACTCTCACAGTCATATGTTCACGATCTTTTGTGAACCGAAGGCCCATATTTCAAATGACTCTTGCGTCACAACATTCTGCTGATAGGAATGATGTTCAACAGGAACACACAATGGACTGGTGGATTAACGGTGATGACAAGACAGTTGTTAAATATTTGAAAATAATTTCTGCCCAAAAGCAACTGTATTAGTCTGTTCTCACATTGCTAATAAAGACATGCCCGAGACTGGGTAATTTACAAAGGAAAGAGGTTTAATTGACTCAGAGTTCCACATGGCTAGCAAGGCCTAATCATGGTGGAAGGCAAATGAGGAGGAAAGCCACATCCTACATGGCATCAGGCAAGAGATTGTGCAGGGGAATTCCCATTTATAAAACTATCAGATCTCCTGAGATGTCTTCACTACTAGGAGAACAGTATCTGGGAAACTACCCTCATGATTCCATTATCTCCACCTGGCCCCACCCTTAACACATGGAGATTATTACAACTCAAGGTGATATTTACAAAGGGAGACAGCCAAATCATATCAGCAACTCAAATGCAATGATAAAAGTTAAAAGTGCCATTTTTCCCTATAAATAATCCTATATTCATTCCCCATTTTAAGAATGGCTCTATAAATTCTATGTTTACATAAGCTAACCTGGTCATTAAAATTCCAAATTTTCTACTTTTTTTTTTTTTTTTTTACCAATTATTATTATTTTTTGAGATGGAGTCTTGCTTTCACCAGGCTGGAGTGCAGTGGCATCATCTTGGCTCACTGCAATCTCTGACTCCCCATTTCAAGCGACTCTCCTACCTCAGCCTCCTGAGTAGCTGGGACTACAGGTGCACACCACCACATCTGGCTAATTTTTGTATTTTAGTAGAAATGGGGTTTCACCATGGCCAGGATGGTCTCGATATCCTGACCTCATGATCTGCCCACCTCAGCCTCCCAAAGTGCTGGGATTACAGGTGTGAGCCACTGCAACTGGCCTTACCAATAATTATTTTTAAGTTCAATAGCATTCATAGTTATTCTCTCACCGTTATTGCTGCAATACCTTTTTTTTTGTTGTTAATTATTCTGAATAAACCTGACTTTGCCATTTCTTACCCTGTAGTGCTAAGTCCTCCAGTGTACACTTCAGTTGCTATCAGAGTGAACATAGCAAAATGATAGTTCCTACTCAAACTTCTTAAATGGCTCCCCCATTTAAGAAGTATATAACGTATAGTATATATGTATATGACTCCTGTATGTAAATACATGCTATTTTGCATTTTACATGGGATTCATTATTCTCTGGCTCCCACTCACCTATCCAAAATCAAGTCTTCTTCATGCTCACTTTATATAAAATTCCATGTCTCCATAATAATAAATCATGTCTACTCCAACCTCCCCCTCCCCAGGCCCTTCCATTACCTAAGCCTGTGTGTGTGTAATACTGCCTCTGTCTCCAATGACAGCCTACATATTATTTACCAGGTAGACACTTGATCTTTCTCCAAATTGCTGTCTAATTACAAACTCCTGTACTTCTTCAGGGAAGCCAAAAGATATCTTTTTCTATTTTCCTATATTGCTTCGTCATCTTGTTTATATTTATAATAAAGTAAATGCTCAGCCATATTTATACTCAAGAGTAGCTACGTCTTAAGAAGTTACGTTCAATTAATGTATATTCAATTAAATTGAGTTCTATATTAAAATTTATCTTTTATTTGGAAAAATAGGTATAAAATAGGACAAATGTAAATTATTAAAGGTTATATTTATGTTTCATCCATGCTTTGACTGAGACCTCCATTTAAAAGCTGTTCATTGAGCTCCAACTATGTGACAGGAACTGTCCTTGTCTTGGTGTATAAAAAAGTAAACAAAACATATTTTGTACTATTATGGAGCTTATAGATGGTTTCAGCTATGAAAAACTCAATGAAACAAATGAATTTTATAGAAAAAGTTACAAACAACTGTTTAATGATCAACAACTGTACTGCTAATGGAGTAAATCTGAATCTGAATCTCTGCATGCTTACAGATACAGAATTCTCTTATTTCATTAAAGGCATAGTTGTCACGTCAAATATGCTTATGAATTTTGTTTTTACGTATTGTTTTATCTTGTATACTATGGAGTCATGATATTTGTAGTAAGTAGATGTATGTGTATCAATTTACATTATTTGTGGGACTTTGAAACAATTGCATTTTATATTTCCAATAGTGTAAAAATAGTATGTTCAAATAGGTAAAACACAATGGTAAATAGAATAAAGGAAAAGATTAATAAATGTAATAAGCTACTGGTATACTTAACAAACAACCTTAAATTTTTAAAGCAATTCACTGCAGAAACATAAAATGGAGCCAAATAGCAGCATTTAAGTCAGCTTTCAAGCTATTTTCCTGAAATATAGCTTAATAATGAAAACAATAAGCTAATTATCTAAATGGAAATTTAGAGTGGGCTGGCATGTGTGCAAAAGACTGTAATAAACATTCTCACATTTTAGTAAGCTCATATGAAACAGAGACTTGGAATGGTCTTCCAATTTCATTTCTCAAACTATATTTGTGGTGTGTTATTAAGACAACCCATTCAAATATCCAGTGAAAATCACTCTCTTAGTGGTGTACAAAAGCTCACATGCTAAATATTATTAAGAAATGTAATACACATACTATGGCCATAAGATGGGAAAATGGACTAACGCTGGAGCTATTTTTTAACAAGAACAGTAAACTTATATTATACTTTGGTATGACAAATAAAGTATATATTAGACGTTAGTAGAATCACTCAAAACCTTTTTTGAAACAATGCAGATGGCTGCACTACCCAGAAAACTTTTCTAAAGTTTTTTTTCATTTTTCAATATGACATAATTAATATTTTAAAACATCTATAGAAATACCTGGATTTTCCCACGAAGATCTGGAAATCCACCAATAAAGACAGATCCTGATTTTGGCAGGGGTTTTCCAAGTACATGATTGATAGATTCGCTTGTTTGTGTATTTCTCCCTAGAATAGTCAGTTCAGCTTTACATGGATCCAACTCTTGCCTGTAACCATTTAAGAAAGAAATTTATGGTTTTAGTATGAGTTACATAAACATTTGTCTGACCAATTAATTAAGCTATTGTCAAAAGTAGAATTTAAGTAAATAGATTATCTTACAATAAAACAAAGTCAGAAGTAGATCGATCTGTTCTAAATTAGAAATCCTTAATGCTTTAAGCATATAAATACAAAGTTAGTCTGACAACACAACAAATTATAGCAATCAACTAATGAAATAAATAAATCCTGACATTAAACAGATCTTTCCAAATTGTAACTGAAACAATGACTGATTACAATATTCCATTTCAGCTTTTTACATTGTTAAATTTTCTGTGTGAGTGAAAATACTAAAAATAATCAAATTTAAATGTAGTCATACAGGTTACAATATATCCTTAGGTAGAAAACTGTAATTTTTTCCACCTAAAGATATATTGTACACTGTATCACTGTATGATATACTGCAGATAGTATTTAGTGGTAGAAATAGAAATTATATGAATAAGTGCAGAAAAATTAAAAAATGAACAAATCAGCCAGGCATGGTGGCTCACGCCTGTAATCCCAGCACTTTGGGGAGCTGAGGCAGGCAGATAACAAGGTCAAGAGATCGAGACCATCCAGGCCAACATGGCGAAACCCCGCCTCTACTGAACAATACAAAAAATTAGCTGGGTTGGTGGCACGCACTTGTACATCCAGCTACTCGGAAGGCTGAGGCGGAAGAATTGCTCGAACCAGGGAGGCAGAGGTTGCAGTGGGCCGACATGGCGCCACTGCAATCCAGCCTGGCTCCTGGTGACAGAGAGAGATTCTGTCTCAAAAAAAAAAAAAGAGAACAAATCAAATATAACTTAATGAAGAAGCTCCGAGTAATAACTTCCATACGCCCGTTCTTTTAAAAAGGTGAAAAAGACAAAATACTTCATCAATACTTTAACATGTAGATATGCATGTGCCATTTACTCTAGCCATACGTTTAACTAATCATTTAATCCAGAGACTGACAAACTACACCCTAGGGCAAATCTTGTCTTCCATCTCTTAGTAAATAAAATTTAGTTGGAACACAGTCACATGTTTCTTTACCTATAGTCTATGGGTTTTTTTAATAACAGAATTGAATAACTGAAACAAGACTTTAAGTCCCAAAAGGCCAAAAATGTTTACTATTTAACCCTTATAGAAAAAGGTGGTAAATCCACTATCTGTTCAATTTATCTACTTACCAAGCAAGTAATCTTTATGATAATCCTTTTCAAAATAATACTACACATACTATACTATAAAAGGCATCTACACGGCAACGTCATTCTGTATCAATGTCATTCTGTTCCAAGAATATGTGACATTCTGGTTTTCATATATTTATATTGAATTATGGCATACATAATAAGGAGGGTAAAGGATAAAGCTCTATGAAATATTATATTGTGAACATATTGGAGTACCCACTACCTAGTCCAAATGGCACAAAATTACTATGTAGACCATGCCTCTCCAATACACATGCATGCACACAACACATTCTCTCTCAACTCTTCTGTCTTCATTCAACATAATGTTTTATATATATATATATATATATTATGTATTTGAATTTATTAGCTTATTCATTTTCAATGTATCTAAACAGATATTTTATAATTTATTCTAATGTTGGTATACTGTGAATGTTTAAAATTTTTGAGCTATGAATAGTGTTGCTATAGACATGCTTGCATGTATTGTTTGGTGTGCACAAATAAATGTGCATTTCTATTGAACATTTACCAAAAAAAAAATTTAGAGTTCTATGTTTAGGATATATGCTCTACTGGTTATATATTTTGTAAGGATTTTATTTTTCCTTTTGATGTCTTACAGTTTTACTTTCTCTTGTTTTTTTTTTTTTCTTTTAATAATCAGAAGTTTTTTATCTTAATTTATGCCAACTGATCAATCTTTTACATAACAATTACTATTTTGTTGTTGTTCCTACCTAATCCATTTTTGAAAATGTATTTTACAATTGACATTTAGATCTACAACCCATCTGAGATTGGTTTTTATATAGCCCCAAGTATGTATCAGTTTTTATTTTTTCTTTATGGAAATCCAATTGACTCAGTAACATGAGTGGAAGAAAACTATCCATTCTCCACTGTTCTACAATATCGCTGTCATAAATCATGCCCATATATATGTAGGTCTATTTGTAGACTCACTCTCTTTTCTGTTCCACTGGTCAATTTTTCTGTCTCTGTACCAATATATCACTGTCTTAAGACTTACTCTAAAAATACAGTACTTAGTACCCAGTAGAGTAAGTCCTTCATTTATCCCCTTTACATTGTTTTGGCTGTAACGTGTGTGTGTGTGTGTGTGTGTGTGTGTGTGTGTGTGTGTGTGTGTGTTCCTGAGTTCTCTTTTATTGGTTCATATTTCTACCTTTGTGTCAATAATACACTGCCCGATACTGATACTGCCTAATGCTAATGTTTTGTAAGTCTAGATATTTTGTATAGTAAATTATCTTACTTTGCTCAGTTTCTTGAGATAATTAAATATCCTTTTTTTTCTTTTTCTCTTACTTGGGATGAATTATGTTTGCTGTTTTTCAAAAGTTAGATGTATGCTTGGAGTAAGTTTAACTTGGTTATGATATATGCCTTTCTTATATAACATTGGATTTACTTTTCCATATATTAAGGAATTTTTACATACATGTTAATAAAGTATAGGCCTTTCAATTTCAATTTTTGTACTGCTCTGGTACAATTTTAGTATCAAGGTTATGCTGTCCTCACATTTTTTCAGGAAGTTGGTGTTACACTGATATTATATCTACCTTTTATGTATGATAGAATTCACTGGTATAGCCTACTGAGCCTGAAATTTTCTTTGTTTTACTTTGTGGAGATGGTCAATATAAATTACATATATTTATTTGATGTAAATTATCTATGTATTAATATGTCTATTTTGTCACATTGTATTTTTGTCTAGGAATTTTTCATTTAATCTAAAATTTCAAAATTATTGGCAAAAAGTGTTACATAATTTCCTTTTTTTTAGATTGTTATTCCTTTTGGAACTCTGATGTCTGCCTTTTTTTGGTATGATAATTGTGTCCTTTCTAATTTTTTTTTTTTTTTTTTTGTAAATCAATGTTGGTAGAAAGCATAAAAATTCAAGGAACACAGTTTTGGTACTGTCAAGAGTCTCTATTCTGTTTTTTACTTTATTATCTTCTGCTTTTATCTTTGTGATTTCCTTTCTTTAATTTTCTGCATGCTTAATTTAATCTTTTGTTTCTAAGGTTTCTATTCTAACATATGCTTTCAGGATAGAAAACTTTTTTCTAAACATACATTTAACTGTATTCAACAAGTTCTATTTTTCATTAGTATGTGTTCAAATTTTTTTCTAATTTCCTGTGTGATTTTTTTTCTTTTGCCTCAATGCTATTTAGAATTGCATTGTCAAATTTACAAATATACAGGTATTTTCTTGTAATTTTTAAAATAATTTTAGCTCAAATCGAGATTGTTCAGAAATTATCCTTTAATTTTTAATAATTTTATAGGCATTTAATAATAGATATTCAAGGGAGATGCCAGAAAAGACCAAGTAATTACTGAACACCATAGAGATGTGGCCGACCTACAACTGATATTATTTGAATGGTTACCACATTATTACACAAGAAGTTTTTTTTGTTTTTTTTTTTTGTGGGGTGAAGGCGGTAGACAGGGTCTGGCTCTGTCGCCAGGCTGGAGTGCAGTGGTGCGATCTCGGCTCACTGCAACCTCTGTCTCCAGGGTTCAAGGGATTCACCTGCCTCAGCCTCCCAAGTAGCTGAGACTACAGGGGTGCACCACCACATCCAGATAATTTTTTTATTTTTAGTAGAGACAAGGTTTGACCATGTTGGCCAGGATGGTCTTGATCTCTTGACTTTATGATCCACCCTCCTCAGCCTCCCAAAGTGCTGGGAATATAGGCATGAGCCACTGTGCCTGGCCTACACAGCAAGTTTTAAACTTGAACATGTGTTAGCAAAGATGGAAGGAGATGGATTAAAATGGATTAAATAGATCAAACCTGTAAATGATTCTCTTTCAGTAAGAAAATATTTGCTTTTAATTGTTTGAAATACGTTGACTCAGGCTGCATAGCCCAGCATATTGTCAATTTTAATAACATTTACATGACACCGGAAAGTCTGCTGTTGGGTGACGTGTTCTTGATATGTGAATATGGTCAGGATTTACATACGCACATGCATCACAAATATACACACGCAAACACATTTATCCAGGTTTATAATAAATGTAGAATGTAATAAAACAGTGAAATCATGTTTATCATGTATGTACTTTTTTCTTCTTAAGAAAATATTATGCAGCCATCAAAAATGATGAGTTCGTATCCTTTGTAGGGACATGGATGAACCTGGAAACCATCATTCCCAGCAAACTGACACAAGAGCAGAAAATCAAACACTGCATGTTCTCACTCATAGGCAGGTGTTGAACAATGAGAACACATGGATGCAGGGAGGGGAGCACTACACATTGAGGTCTGTTGGGGGTAAATGGGGGAGGGACAGGGGGGTGGGGAGGTGGGTAGAGATAGCATGGGGAGAAATGCCAGATATAAGCGAAGGGGAGGAAGGCAGCAAGTCACACTGCCATGTGTGTACCTATGCAACAATCTTGCATGTTCTTCACATGTACCCCAAAACCTAAAATGCAATAAAAAATAAAAAATAAATAAAAAATAAATAAAATGTTTACAGATATTCTTTGCATCCTATATATATCATGATATGAACCTCATAGACCTAAGACCAGGTATGGTCATACAGCCAACCTTGTGGCTTTGATAAAGAAAGCTTTCACAATTTTTTAAAAATATCAATGATATTCCCTATGTTAAAAATATGGAAGAAAATGTGTTCAACATTTTTAGAAACTACTAGATATTCTTGGATTCTGTATTCAGGAGCAAACTA